AGTGAACCTATTTCTTCAGAAGACCAGGGAACTGGATCCCCAGATGCCTTTAAAAAATTCTACTATCTTGCTACCTTTCTTGAGGGATTCTGATGAGAAGCAGTCACAAGGACAGTCAGAGTTTAATAAAAGTCTCACAGGTGAATTAATGGGGATCCGGTCCATTACGTGAGAACCATTAATTTCAGAACTGTTTGAAATCAGATCCAACCTAGGCCTTCCATTTACTCATTTGCATTGATGGGCACATAATTTCTGTGAGCTTTTTATCTGCAAAATTGGTATAATAATATACAGCTGACAAGAGTTATTCACTTACACATTCTTTCACTCAAGCATGGATTGAAATTAGCCTGGTGTGGTGGTGCACACCTGTAACCCCACTCAGGAGGCTGAGGCAGGAGGATTGCTGTGATTTTGAGGCCAGCCTGAACTACATACTAAGACCTTGTCCCCCCAAAAAACAGAAGAAATAAAAAGAATGTCTAGCATGTGCCAGGAACTGGCCTATGTTCTGGGGATTTAGAAGGTATCTAAATAGATCCCTGTTCTACCCTCACCCACCCCAGCCCTCATAAAAAGGGAAAAAAATGCTCAGATGCTCATATTTTGAGAATTAAATACAATAACATAGGTAAAGCACTTAGTACAACATTGGCATATAACAAATAGGGAATTACTAGTAATAATCATGTCTGTATTTACCAGGGTCATACTGTGAAATTGAATAATATTCTCATTTATACTGAAGCCTTATCTTAATAGAAAAAGAACATCTCATTTAAAACAAATGATTAACCCATAAACACTATTAGAAGTAGTGAATTTGCGATGTGTTTTTCTTTTTGAGGGTTCACTGGCAAAGGTAGTCATAACCAACCTTCCTTATGTCTTCCAAGAGCAGTGATATCTGTAGATCATTATAAGTATCAAATGCACTAATCTCGTAGTTAATTATATGTTATCCTGCGGGGATTTTTTGTTGTTAACTTCTTTTATTGGTACATTTTAGGTATACAACACATTTACATTTCTCATTGGGAACTTGTACCTTTACATGATGCATCTTGGTTCTTATTTTTTCCCCATTCCTAGCCCTCTCTTCACCCCCTCCACCCTTCCCTATTTACAAAGACTTTATTTCCATTTTTTCCATTTCTCATCATTTTTCCTTTCCCTTCTTTCCTTTTCCCTGCCCCTCCCACTACCCCTACCCCTACCCCTTTGGACCTTTTCTTCCTATTTTGCATTATCGATTATTCATTCTAATCATTGGTACATTTTAGGTATTCAATATAATGACATTCATCATTGGAAATTTGCACCTTTACATAATCTCTCTTGGTTCTTATTTTTCACCCTTGCCCAGCCCTCCCATCAACCCCTCCATTCCTCCCTATTTACAAAGATTTTGTTCCTATTTTTCCATTTTCTCATATTAATTCCATTCCCTTCTATCCTTTCCCCTGCCCCTCCTACTTCCTTCCCCTTTGCCCCTTTTCTTCCTATTTCACATTACCTATTATACATTTTAGTCCTTATTTACACTTTCAGTTTCTCACACTAGGGAAACTATTCGGTATTTATACATGTGTGTCCTATTTATTTCACTTAAGAGTATCGCCTCAATGTGCATCCACTTAGCTATACATGTATTTTAAAGAACATAGGTGCCGCTTGACTTTACAGTTGCATTAATACTGTCTTTGAGATTCTCCAGAACTCTGCAGGGTAGCTTTTGGAATGGAGGGAGGGCTGGCCTTCCAGTATTTGAATGTTTTCCTAATCCGACTCGGGCCCTCTTGCCAGGCTACAGTGACCTACCTCACAAGGTGCTCTTTGAAAAATCAATGCAACAAAAGCAATGTAACAAATTAAAAAGAATTGAGAGACTACTGTATTTTTTTCTTTCTTTCTCTTCCTCCCCTCCTTTCCCTCTTTTCTTTTCTCTTTTGGCCAGCTTTTGGAATGAAGTTTTAAAGTACAGAGGTATTGTTAACCAATTTTCTGCATGTTTTATTTAACCAGAGAGAGAGGAATTCGAGATAAAATTTCTGAATAGTTCATGTTTTAGATTTTTAAAAGCTGTTACAGACTTTTCTTGGAGACAGTACCCTAAATGTTTCAGATTTGAATTTGCACTGCTGAATTAAGTCAGAAAATCAATTTTATGTGATGACTCTATAGAAACAATTCACAGGGAAGATTGTTGCAAGTTAATAGAATCAATATCTGTGTATAATAAAAGTATTTTATCTGCAATGTGCAATAGCTGCATTACATGAATTTGCAGATTTCCAGTGTATTTTTATGAGGCTTAACAAAGTTGAATTTTATTGGTCCATTGGTCTTAGTTTGCTAAACTAAGAATTCTTTTCTCCTGCCAAATAAGTTTGTAAATTTGGCATTTGTTTTGAAGTATTTATAATAGATTGTATACAGTGATGTAGACATGTCAATAACTTTATAATGCAAACATTTAAAATATGCTATGTATAAATACATATTAACTCATAGCAGTGGAATGCAAAGAGGAATATTAACCAGTTTCCTTTCTCTATAACCTAGTCTTTTAGTTCCCTCTGGTAAAATTTCTCAAAATTCTTAAATATCTAATGTAAAAAATTAACAGTGCTGATCTGGCTGGATTTTTTAAATACTGTTTCTGACAGTGTGTAACAGTACAGATTTATCCTGAATATTCTTGAATAGAAACCCATATTTACTGTACAAGTCCACCTTTGTGCTGCTGCCCCTATGCAGCCAGTGATCAGTGGGACAGCATTAAATCAGCTGCTGCTCCAGGAGCTGTTGGTGGTCAGACAGCCTTAGGCCCCAGTTTCCAACAGGGTATTGGTTATTAATGTTTGGAACACGCAGGCCTCTTCCTGTGTCTGAGGGCAGCTGCCTCAGGCAAGGCTTGGGCTGGGGATTGGAGGTGATACTTCAGGCCACTTCATCAGGCAACAGCCATTTTTCTGGCAGAGCAGCTAACCATGGCATTCAGACCCATGTGTTTGAAGGTCTAATTATATTACCTTGAAAATATCATTGAAGTCTCTGGTGTATTATTTCTTCTCCCCAGTGAATAAAGTAATGTATTAAATATTCTCTTATTCACCTTCTTCTTAGTAAAAATGTGTATGCTACCCACAAAGATTTTGCCTCAAAACGATTTGCAAGGCCAAGAGAGCAGTGAATCTTCTGGGATAGCCGTCCCCAACCTTGGGAAATTCGGCTGGGTCATTCTTTGCTGTAAGGGGCTGCCCTGTGTTTTCAGAACATTTAGCAGGATCCCTGCCCTCTGTCCGTTAGATGCAGTGGCACTGCCCAGCTGTGGCAACCAAAAGTGTCTCCAGACATTGCCAAATATATCCTTAGTTGAGAACCACTAGTCTAAGAAAAATGGAATACTTGAGTTCTGTTTTTATTCTTCTAAATATGATTCAGAGCCAGACTAGAAAAAGAATATAGTTTTATTTTCTAACATATTTCTTTTGTGCTATAAGAATTACTTTTGTAATATATTACTCATATTGCATAAAAATTTTCTCCAAAGCTCTGTTGAATACTTCATATATTCTGGCATTATCTAACTTCTTATTCCTATCTGAGGGGAGAATTAGCTACATTCTAATAAAATGTAATCTAATAAAACTTTTATTCTAAAATATTCAGTGAAGATTTTATTCCTTACCACTGGGTAAAGGAAAAAAAACTTTTTTAATTACCTTAAAGAATAGGATTTATTTTGCATATAAGTTTTGCTGTTTCAGAGACAATCATTATTATTTTCAAAAGAATTAAATTTAAAGAATTGAACTTTAGCTGGATGTGATGTTTCACACTTGTAATCCCAGCAACTCAGGAGGCTAAAGCAGGAGAGTCGCAAGTTTAAGTCAAGCCTGAGCAACTTAGCAAGACCTTGTCTTAAAAAATAAGAAAGAACTGCATATGTAGCTTAATGCTCCTTGAATTTAATGTAAAAAAATTGAAACTATAAAAAATGTTACCTTCATTAAGGTGGGAAATTATGTTCTGTCATGCTAGAAAAGCTAATTGTTAAAATAGATTTCAGGTAAAATTCTACTCAAGAAAATATATATTTCTTGACGTGCAATTTTTCATGTAAACAATTAAAAACAATCTTGACATATCTATGGAAGCTTTTCTGACAGAAATACTATCTTGTGACAATTTATTCAATGTTGCCGTATGTATTTGCCTGAACAAGTCTGTAACTCTTCTTTAGAAGTGTTCTGTTTCAGACTTCATACTGCAGACTTCTCTTTCTAGTGAGGTAGCTTCATTGTTGAATGTCTCACAAGGATCTTATGGGCTAGGAGAACACTTCAGAAAACTTTCTTCATTTCTTCATTCATTTCTTCAGAAAAATCCTGCATCAAATGAATATGCCAAATACTCTCTTATGTGCTCAAAAGGAACAGTGTATTCATTACCTTTCACATACCCACGAGATTCATTTATGGTTTACATTAACTGTGAACTCTGTTATCCTGGGTGTTCTGCTCTATTTATTTCAAATAATAGGACACTTGCAACCTATTAACAGTTGTAAATAGACCTTTCAAGCACATGTGCCATAGAAATTATGAAATATATTTCTTACACAAGTTTCTAGGATTAAATCGTGAAAATATGGAAGTTAGATGACAAGTTTCTTTATTTAATAGTTGATCTGTTATTTAAAAGAATATGCCAGATTTATAGACTGAACTTCAAAATCCCTGTAGAGGATTTCATAAATATTTATCTCTTATATTTTACAAAAAAACATTGATTTGATACTTACTTCATAAAGCATCCTGATCCTAAATGTGAATAGATAAAAACAGATTAAAGGAAAGGAGAGAGGGAAAAAAGAATGCATTATAGATAGATAGATGGATGGATAGATGGATGATTAAATATGTAAGGGAGGATGTCAACTTTCAACTGAGACCTGTGTATTAAATGTTGCTTTCTATTTTATTTTTTAGCCAATGTTTTCAGTTGCACCAAGCTTAGCCACCAATGCATCAGCAGCCTTTAATCCCTACCTGGGACCTGTTTCTCCAAGCCTGGTTCCAGCAGAGATCTTGCCGACTACACCAATGTTGGTTACTGGGAATCCGGGGGTTCCTGTACCTGCAGCTGCTGCAGCTGCTGCACAGAAATTAATGCGGACAGACAGACTTGAGGTAGGAATGATTAGTTGGTTTCCTTTTATATTCCATTCTCATTATCAAAGTGTTCCCATGGCCAAAAATTTGTTTAAAAATTCAAAGCAAAAGATGTGTTTTTGTGTTTGTAGCATTTTACTAGAGTATAGGTATTCTTTATTTATTGAATGTAATATTTATAAAAGCCTCAATATCATTGTAGAATAGTGGATAAAAGCTTGAACCCTAGGCAGGCTGCTTATGACTGTCATGCCTCACTTTCCTCATCTTTAAAATGTTGATAATAATGGCACTTCAAAGAGTTAGAAAAAAGCCTGATGCACAAATCCTTCTTAAATGTTCATTGTTTTTCTTGTTGTTATTGCTGCTGCTATCAAGAATGACAAATGATTTCCAGGTGTGCTGGCACATGCCTGTAATCCCAGCACTCTGGGAAGCAGAGGCAGGACAATGACAAGTTTGAGCCCAACTTGGGCACCTCAGTGACATAGTGAAACTCTGACTCAAACTAATACAAAAAAAAGCGAGGGGGGCTGGAAATAAAGATCAGTATGAAGGCCTGGGGTTCAATCTCCAGTACTGGAAATAAAGTAAAATAAAATAAAAATGTCAGTTCCTAATTACTTCTCCTAATGATAAATAAAATATTCTAAAACTTATGGATGTAAATTTTCTCATAAGCTACACAGTGTTTATGTTGAAATAGCAAGGCATCTTTGTGAAATGGAATCTTAGAAAAGTATTTTTAATAGGAAAGTACTTGATGCTCTAAGTGCTTCAGAGGTGATCAGGTGCATAAATGAATGTGTTTGGCTGTTTCTACCTGAAAAAGAAATTCAACATTTTAAGTCTTATTTTTAGGATTGTGAATTAATGGACTTGGTAAACTATAGATGGAGGGGAAAATAACAACGTTGATTGAAAGTATAGAACTGGCATCGAATTGCCTTTTTACTGTTTCTTGGGTTAGGCAGTACCTGGAACTGAGAAGTCCTGCATGGATTAATTACTGAGAAAGCAGCGAAGTAAGGCTGTTGTAGGAACATAACTGACTAATAATTTGTCATTTTAGTAGGAGCTTGATTAATAAGCACCAATATTTTATTTAACCTTTGCTGCATGCATTAAAAATTATCTCACCTTTCAACATATTTGCAGCTATATAACAGACACATACATCACACATTTAAACCTCAGAACAAATATAGAATATTGTAAATTATTGGATGCTCGGCATTTGAAGCAGTTTTATACCCTTTGACCTTTTATGAAAGAAACTCAGGGAGCTATTAATGCTCTTAATTGAATCAGACAGTTATTGATAAGTGACAATACTGAAAAAATTGGGAGAATAAAAATTGTAAAAAGCTGAGTTATGTGGCTAGAACTCTTCTAAGCTAATCCTTCAGCACTTTTAGGTACTGATTCATCAATTGTATTTTGTGGCGTTTAATTGAAGTGAAGACTTTCGTCTTTGTTTTTCTCTTTTCTTTCTGTTTATAGGTGCCTTGTATATTTTGTCTGTTTTCTTTTGCTATGGCCAGAACAAATGTCTATGGCTGTATCGCCTGTCATATCCCTTTAACCTATTCCACTTATCTAAATTCTTGAGAGCAGTTCAGCTTACAATCTTTTTCTTGTTGACAGAATCTGAGCCAGTGTCACAGTTACAAACTACCAGGACATCACAGTGTGACAGTTTCTGCTTTGTGCTTGTGATTTTAGACAATCTTAATTTGAGCTTATTTCCTCATTTGAAAACTGCACTACATACTGGAGTTTAAAAGGCACATGGCATTGAATGCACACAATTAGTTACTTATCAGTCACAGGTTTGGTTATTTGGAGTTTAACTCTATACTTTATTTTAATGTATTTTTGAATTTTGAATTTCTTCTGAGGAGAGTATTATCTAAGTTAGAATATTGGCAAGTTTTTTACTGCAATTAGTTATACAGTAAAAAAATATAAAATATTTCTGATTATAATGCTTAGAAGGAATGACATATTTATAACACTCATTGTGCTTTTACAAAAAACTTAAATTGAAAAGCAGAAAGTCAAATATCAGTAGTTGTGGTATTAGTTAGGTAAGTTTGGGTTGTGGTTCTCAAAACCTCTGGGCATCTCCAAGTAGAACATTTCAGGGACAATTACATTATTTTCTTGCTTTTAACATGTCACAAGGTATTGAAACATTTATTTTAAAATATAAATATGCATATATTTATATATACACAAATGTACAATTATATTCACATGGCATCAGCTTTATGTCTATCTTTCTATTTATCCATTACTCTCTGTTGACATTTTTAGAAAGACTTTGTAGCAGCCATGTACTTCGTATACTCTAAAATTCAGACTTTGTAGTTTTTTCAAAAAGAGGGACAAATATCTTAAATACCAGTCACTGAATTGTGGCTCATGATACCATTTTCGTGACATTGGAATACCTTTCTGTAGTTTCCACACAGCAGTTTACTTTGCATGATCATATTAAGAAATAATTAAATCTATAGATACTAGAAAAAACTAAGTCCTTAAGTCCTACCCATGCCTCATTACAAAGATTGCTAATTAAGTAAATCACTGACTTATTTCAAGAAGCACATTGATTTTTATAATTCAGAAAGGAACCACAAATGCACTTATTTTCTCACTCAACAATATTTGATATTGAACACCTTTTAAGTAAAAGACATTGTGAGAAATATCTTTGAAACTTTTAAATTGCTGTCAGTCACAAAAAGTTCACATCGGAATAGTTCTAGACTCATAACTATTCTCCAATAATTTGCTAGAGGAATGAATGAATAAATTAATGAGTCAAGTCAAACAATCAACAAGTTATTTAATTAATTAATCACAGAAAGATATCTATCTGTATTTAAAGTGTAGGGTAGTCCCACAAAGGTGAGAAAACATAAAAAAGTTTTAACTTGAGGAAAACTTTGAACATTTTCCTTGGGAACATATTTACCGTTTGAAAATTCTAACTATAAGATACTGTTTTGCTCATAGACCTAGTTTAGTGCTTTTCAGGGTTCAGTAAGATTAGAATCACATAGAGTGATTATCAAAAATGCAAAGCCTCTGGGCCAGGGATTTAGCTCAGTGGCACCTCGCCTGCCTTGCAAGCGCAAGCTCGAGCTCCTGAGTTTGATCCCCAGTACCAAAAAAAAAAAGCAAAGCCTCTTTCCAAAACGGTATTCAATTGGTCTGTACTGGGGCCAAGGAATTTTTTTCCCAAAGATCAGACAAGTGATTTGTATTAGTTAGCTTTCCCATTGTAGGGACAACATACCTAATATCTGCAATTTAAAGGAGAGGTTTATTTGGCTCACAGTTTCAAATTTGCAGAGTACAAGCATCATGGATAAAGAATACAGTGGAGGAAAGCTTCTTCCTTCATGGTGGCCAGAAAATAGAGCATAGAGGAAGAGCACCAGAGACTAAGGGCCTAGGCACTAGATATAGTCCCAAAGTGCATGCTTCACTGACCCACCCCGACACACCCAGAAATACACTTTACTTTCTCAAGCCAAATAAGTTGACAATAATATTAACCATGTCACTGAATTGTGGCTTATAATACCATTTTTGTGATCTTGGAATACCTTACTGTATTCTATAAATTCAAGTAGTCTCTAAAACATTAGCTCTGGAAGATGCTAGCACTAATTTAAACCTCAACTTTTCATCATTTACTTCATATATAGTTACTTACGACTCTGAATTGAAAATTTGCCTCCTCCAATGCATGTAACAGTCTACATATGGCTAAATTTCTGTGACACTATGACAGCACAATGAAATATTTTAGGTAAAAATGATGATTTGTTAAAATAATTTATATCACATAGCCATAATCACCCAAACATCAGTGACTACATATTTCAGATGCTTATGAAGATGTTAGTTTGCTTTTTGGTTAGCTGTATCATTTTTATATCAATAGTCTACATGAGAAAAGCATATTGAATAAAAGTTCCAGGTAATATGAGTAAACTACTTGGTTTCTGATATTTTTAGTTAGAATTCGCTTGTTTTAAAATAAATTATCCTTGTGCTGTGTTATTCTACTGAGCTAAATCATGACACAGGTTTCTAATTCAGTCTACAACATTATTTATTGACACAGACAAGTCTACCTTTTGCATATAGGCAGAAATTAATACAATACCTGTGAATTGCACAAAAAGTGCATTACTATATATTTTCAAGCTGAATCACTATAAAAAGCATGACTAGGTGAGCAGTTTTATGGTTTTAGTGGATTTAGTATGGTTTTATGTAAAAGAATTTCTATTCCAAAAAACTAGGAAAGCAGATGATTTAATAATATAGGAAACACTTATTGATAGGACTATTTATTGTATTTCTGTAGTGTAATGCTACTATTTCTGTAATACTTGAATTTCTCTAGAAAATTAAGAAGAAATCTTGACAGTGTTGGGCACAGAAGTCTAGGTAGTTTACTTTAAAAATCTGTGGTAAGCTTTAGAATGACATGAAAAATATATAATGACAACCCCACTTAAAACATCAAATGTACAGTGTCTCTGTAAATTATCCATCTCTCAGATTAGTTTGAGTTTTGTTTTGGAGATTATAGACTTATAAATGGTTTAATGTAAAGTAATTGCTATTCTTGACTTGCCCACTCATTGTGCTGCTGATCTGTCACTAATTTCTTCATCTAAATTAAAGCAAAAAAAAAATCCCTTAATTTGTGGTTACTTAGAAAGTCTAATAAAAGTAACTCTACAGTTGATCATTTTGGCATATTGATGAGCTTATTTTTAAATTATATCCATTTCCCTGCTCTCTTGTACATACCCTCACTCATAGAAGTGAAGTAGATTTACTAATTATTTTGTTACACATTCCTATATATTTTATTCCTATATATATAATTTGATTTTTTATAGGAGGTCCAATGGCATTCTTATACAATAGACCTAAAATATATATAATATGTATAAAGATATGAATAATAGTATTTGGAGGTATGCTTGTGTTCTCTGGCCTAAATGAAGGGATCAACTTTGTAGAATTCAAAGAAAACTCCAGTTTTATCTCTGTAGGAATCCTATGAGGGAGATGTAGGTATCTTTTTATTTTTTAAGAAACGGAAAATGGATCAAGGTTGTTCTATTATTGGATAACCATCTGAAACTAGAAATCACATCATTAGATTAACTCAAGAATTTAATTGTGTCATAAATTGAATATGATAGTTTCCCCTAATCACAAGAATATTAAAATATGGAGATTTTTATCCTTTTTAAATGGAAAATATATTTTATTTGCATTAGGGTACAAACATTATTAGAAATTTTGTGGGCACTTTAATAAAATCATTGATTATCTTGTACTGCTTTTAGTACTTTTATGTACTATTTAATGTATTAACTTGAGCTTAATAGAAGAAGCCTTAGTGGTTATTGTTGAACAACATATGTGCGTATATCTTTTATTTCCTAATATTGATCATTTTATTTTCAACTGATTATTCAAAATATTAGAATAAACTGAGTCCCTGTACCTTGTTACAATTTAATCACTGTTCCTACTTTTTGATGTTATTTTCCAAAGATGGCTGAGATAATTACACAAATATGGTGAACATAACACATACTAGTTCAAAAAGATCTCTGAAAAAAAGAGGCAAATGATTCCAATTTTGAATTAATTCAAACACTGACATTAATTTCCTTAGAATCCCAATGCCTAACTTGCAGAATTTACTATTAGTTACAAAACCTCTTATATTATTTTGACTATTTTGAAATTTTTTTTCTTGTGTTTAAGAAAATGAATAAGGAACTGTATTGGAAGCAGATTTGTATAATGTGTGATAAGCTATCCATCATCTTATGCAGTATTCATGACATTTTAAAGTTGGTGTTACTGGAGTTTTAATTTAGAAGATTCCAAACTTAGTAAGGGAAACTGGAACCTACACTTTCTTACCTCAGATGTATCTTCTTTCTACTGTATCTGCTGTTTATTTCACAAAAGAAGATTTATTTGGCAGGAGTTCAGATTTCTTTGGGAAGTTGTTATGATTATTTTTCTATGAACTATTTAAAGTGTATGATTATCCTGTATATATTTTTCTGGGTGTAGTGTTTATAACTTAGACCCTAAATGTTCTCTGTGAATATATTCATTGAAATGCAGATTTTTTCCTAAAAGCAACCTCTTACCTATTTTTCATTAAAGGTTATAAACTTACCTGATTTAAAAAACAAATTTTGCCCTAATATTATGAAGTAAAAGACCCAGCATTCTTTTTGACTGAGTCACGTGTTGTGTTTAGCTAAATATAGATGATTGTTTTAAGTTAGGTTTGAAAATCACTTCTTAAACTGTAGAAAGTGTTTTTACATTTTGACCCACTAGTGATATTTTTTGAATATTCATCTTTAGGAAATGCTAAAAAAATGCCTGCATTCAGGAATATATTCTCTGCAATGCAATCTAGGTATACTCTGAGAGGGTTACCTGTATTATACATAGTTTGATGAAATTCAAACAACCATCAGCAGTAGTCATGTTGGATAATGTTTAGCAAACTGAGAAAATGCTTATAAAAAAATTAAGATGTGTTATATAAATGTACCAGTCCAGATGAAGAATGTAATCCTTATGTATTATAAACATGTTCTAATAAAAAATAAAACATTGGGGAAAAAGAAACAAAATTATTAGCAATACTGAAAAAGGTGTTATTCTGAATATTGTTTTGCAAAATGAGAAAATGCTTATGCTGCATTGTTGACCAAAAAAGATCAAGTTAGTAGCTATACTGTAATTGCAACTATCTAAAAATGTGTGTGTGCAGAAGATTGGTTTGTTTGAGAAAGAATATAAATATTGTTAGGATCTATTAGATTTAATTTTATCTATTTAGATACAAAATATTATCTTTAGATATCTTTAGTATATCTTTAGATAATACTTTATATCTAAATAGATAAAACATCTTTAGATTTAATCTATTAGATTTAATTTTATCATTTGTGTTCCATAGTCTGTATGACAAATTTACAGTTTATTCTGATTTGAATTGTGAGATTAAATTTGTTGAAATTTTGTGTCAGTTATAATTTGCTAATATACTACTACAGCTAAAAGATTTCTTTTGGAAATCAGTGTAGTCTATGTTTCCTTTAGTTTCTCAGAAAACAAAAAAGCATACCAAATCATATTTAGCAGTCAAGGGATAGATCCCCTTTTATTGATGGTGCCTATTGAGGGAAATTTTGTCTTTGAAATTCTGGAAAATTTGTTTCACTCAGAGAGTTATTCAATAATCCAGATGCACATCTGGTTCTTGGCAAACATTTTTCTGGTTTGTGGCTATCACCACTCAAAATATCACAACATATTTTCTATTTTTATTTTATTTTTTCAAGGGCTAAAACAGTGAAAAAGTAAAAAATGCTTATCAGTTGACTCTGAAACCTCAGGAAAAAGCTGGTTTTAGGACACACTTTAATTCCTATTTATCAACTATGATTAAATATTTTTAGAATGCTTCCTAAATGTATTCCACAAAAGAGTAAGAATTATGAAATTGTAGTAAGTCAACCCTCAACATACAGAGATCACAGACAGATAGAGTGACTTTAGATCTTCTTTTTGTCAATGTGGCAAAGAGTAAGTTAAATTGTAAAGTACAGTAATAGCTTCTCTGCTGCCAGTTCTTTTCTGAGCAATTTCAGGAAATTAGGGATTGCATTGAGCTAATAGCTGAAGTGACATGTCACAGGTATGTCCAAGTTTCTTATTGGATGTGGCAGTATTGACATAGATTTGCCTAAACAGAAAAATAATGTCTTTGTTTATGCTGTGGTATAGATCTAGCATAAATTCCACTTACATGTACATAAAGTATTTATTCCCCTGTTAATTTAGGTGTGTCGGTCTTCCTGGCCCTGATGAACAGCCTCCTAGATTTGGTTTGGCACTAGTAAAGTGTGCTTTAGAATGCTTCTTCACTGATTCTGTTGTCCAGCCAGAGAGGAGGATAATTGTTCTGGAAAACAGCTTTTGCTTTTAAAATAACTCCTGGTTATGCCTTCTTTTTTTCTGTTAAATAACATAAATATAGTCATAAAAATAGTCTTTTATAACTTCCTAATTTATCTTTGTATCTTAGTTTTTCTCAGAGTGTCTCTGGCACATGGTAGTTATTTAATAAATTTTTAAAGATTAAAGACATTGAATCAGGTGATGAATGAAGTTGACCTCCTGCTGTGCATGTGAAATACAAAGCTTTAGCAAACTTAGTATTTCTAAACACTGCAAGATGTCATTTGTAATGTTCATTTTATGATGCAGCACAGTACAAATTATAAAGTGCCCTTAAGGAACACTTTTCTTAATAATAGGATATAAATATAATGGAGGCAAAATAATGAATTTAAGTGCATTTTATTTATACAAATCTAAGAAAATATTTACTTTTAAAATCATAGCAAGATTACAATTTCTCTTTGTTATTTAACTGCAAAATTGTGGGCCCAGGATTTAGCTCAGTGGCGCTGTGCCTGTCATGAGGCACGAGGCATGAGATCCTGAGTTTGATCCCCAGTACCCCAAAAATAAAACAAAACCAAACAACTACAAAATAAAGTGCTCATTGTCTGCATTTGTTCAGTTTGTGAAAAGATCTTTAAAACATAGAAATATTCCCTTTAAACATGTGTTAAAAGCTTTTGGAAATTTGGAGTGCATGAACTAAAATTGAAAAGGACATTCTGTGTTTTAGGTGGCCCTCTTGTGGTGAGATGGTCAAACTATACCATATGAAGACTTGGAATTGTTCATACTCAGTCAAAATCAAGCAAATGAATGGCAAACAATCTATTTCCACCTTTTCTCTAGGTTCCTAGTAGCGAAATTAACAGACAAAAATCAAGCAGACATCAACACAAACTAATCTTTTTTCCATTGCTTTGTGTAGCTGTTATATGACTGTAATGATAAAAAATAACTCCAGGTGACATTTTAATAAAAAGCTATTAAATTTGATTTTTTAATACTATTCACTTGGAAATAATATTATACTCACACAAAAGTTGCAAAGATAAAAGCAAAAGTTTTTACTTACTTTTCCACTGAACTAAATATTAACATCTTATTTAAATATATAGTATCATCTATAAAACCAGAAACTCAGCATTGTTATACTGCTATTAACCAAGCCATAGACCTTAATCAGAAGTTATCAGCTATCCTATCAACATCCTTCCCTGACTCCAAGATTGTTCAGCATGTGATAGTGTCTTAGTTTTTCATTGTTTTATGACTTAACACTTTGGAAGATTACTCATCATTTTCTTTGTAAAATATCCTTCCATACAATTTGTCTACGATCTCCTTGTGATGAATTTTAAGCAAAAAATATAAATATCATGTGTCCATTTCACTGCCATATTAGTGGATGTAGGATGAGCTCATGTCTTACTACAATAATGTTGACTTTGTTCACTTGGTTAGTGTGCATGCCAGATTTCTTCACTGTAAAGTTACTCTTTTCCATTGGTAATTAATGTGTATCAACATAGTTTTGGATCTGTCTTATAATTAATCACAAATACATTTGCTTTTTCAAGGGCATTTTAATGGAATGCGGTTACAATTTGTATACTAAATTAAGCATTCCTGAAGTTATTTTGTTGCATTGTTTGCAGTGATCTTTTCTCCTTCACCTATGCCTATCAGCATTTTGAATGTTAAGTTACAGTCTTCAGAAAGGTAGTACTTATTCATGTTGACTAAACCCCATGCACTTAATGGCTTCATAGGTATGTCGAGAGTACCAACGTGGCAATTGCAACAGAGGAGAAAATGATTGTCGGTTTGCTCATCCTGCTGACAGCACAATGATTGACACCAATGACAACACAGTCACCGTCTGTATGGATTACATCAAGGGAAGATGCTCTCGGGAAAAGTGCAAATACTTTCATCCGCCTGCACATCTGCAAGCCAAGATCAAGGCTGCTCAATACCAGGTCAACCAAGCTGCAGCAGCCCAGGCTGCAGCCACTGCAGCTGCCATGGTGAGTACAGATGTCAGCTCTCTTCTTGTTAGCAGTCAGAAAAGCAAAGTGAACAACTATATCTGACTACAGGCTCTTCATTTATTAACCTTTTAAAAAATTTTCTTTGCTGGAGATATGTTTGTTCAGGTATCCCAGAAAATACGTAAAGAAGTTACCATTCACAGAAGTGAGGGTAACTCCTCAAATGGTTCAGATTGCTTCTACTCTTGGCCTAACTCTTAACACTCTGTCTTACTCTGGATGTAGGGTTTCTGAAATTTCTGCTTTGTAAAGAACCACCTGTCTCCTTCTTTTCAATTTAACAATACTGCCATTCTTGGTCTTTTTATTTTTTGCGTGCCATCTAATCAGCCATTGTGTTCCTATGGTGTGTTCTTTTGCACATCAAGGCTCTTCTTTACATATATTCTGCTTTTAACCATAACACAATCTGGAACTATTTAGGAGAATTACTTCAACAACATTGTTTTTAGAATTAGCTACAGGATTTTGGATAGTATGCTGTCTAGATTGCCTCAAATAATATTGTGGCATAAACCTAATTATATAACTGCAGAAGCCTGACTATGCCATTATCTAGAAAAAAGAAAGACAGCAGTACTCAAGGAGATAGAATTTGGATCATTTAGAGCAGACACTAAACTACATGTTTAAAGTAAATTTTAATGTAATCTAATAGCTGAGTTGAATGAGTCCATTCTTGTTCTTTGCTTAGCTGTTTTAATGTTGTCCTTTTTTACATAAATATATGAATTAATCTCTAAAATATTCATAAAAAACCACTGTGTGGTATTTCACAGCACAGTGAATCATGAGAGAGGTCTTTTCTGTGTTTGTTTATGGATACTTGAGCAAAAATACAGAAGGCAGACTCTCTCCTTTTCCTTTCACTTTTTTTTTCTGTTAGGGTATCTTGTTTGTAATTAACTACAAAGAGGAGTTATCCTCCCAATAACAACTCAGTAGTGCCTTTATTGTGCATGCTTAGTCTTGTTATTCGTTGTATATGGCATTCCGATGATTTGTTTTTTTATTTGTTTTTTCTCACCTACCCAAAAATGCACTGCTGCCCCCATGATGCACCTCTGCTTGCTGTTTATGTTAATGCGCTTGAACCCCACTGGCCCATTGCCATCATGTGCTCGCTGCCTGCTAATTAAGACTCAGTCGGCTGTCAAATCACTGAAGCGACCCCTCGAGGCAACCTTTGACCTGGTACTATGACCTTTCACCTTTTAGCTTGGCATGTAGCTTTATTGTAGATACAAGTTCTTTTTTTTATCAACTTAAATATATATATTCCTTTTTCTGTTATAAAGTTCTAAAGTACAATGAAAAACTGAGTGTGGTTTCCTGACAAAATTAGTGGAAAGACTAATATACGTACATAGATGGATGTCATACAATGCAAGACTGAAAACCAAGCAGCCCACATTCAGTTTAACTACATTGTAAAAAAAGAAATACTTGGAGGACATTAAAGTGTATTTTTGACTGTATATTTTATGTACTTGTTTGGTTAGCATGGCTTTAGTAATAGAATTATTTACTTTATAGTAATTCTAGTTCAGAATTTAAGAAAAAAAGTTGCATGCTCTGGGACATTTGCATGTGTAGGTAGATCTGGTTGTGGGGAGGAGCAGAATGGTGTAGGTTTTTATGTTACTGGTTTTGGTCACTTTGTACAGTTAACTATTAACATTGCTTATACTTGTCGATCCTCATGGAGCTCGCAGTGCAGCTTTTCTTCTTTCCCCAAATCAGTGGCTTCTCATAGAAAGCCTGAAGCATTATGGGATGTTAAACACCTTAACACGTGATAACACATGCTCTTGTTCAGAGGGGTTTTATTGTGGACAGAAATAATGCTTCCTTTAAGCTTTTATCTTGCTTTTTTATTTTTCCTTTAATTTTTTGTTTATTGGATTTTTTTCCCCTTGGTTAGTTAAGTGCTCTGCTGCTTGCTTGCTCATGCTTCCTAACAATTTTAGCCTTCAACTGATTTTTCTTTTTTCTTTTTTTTTTTTTTCTTTTTACTGGTATTTGTTTTTTATACTCATTCACTAAACAGGGAATTCCTCAAGCTGTACTTCCCCCATTACCAAAGAGGCCTGCTCTTGAAAAAACCAACGGTGCCACTGCAGTCTTTAACACTGGTATTTTCCAGTACCAACAGGCTCTAGCCAACATGCAGTTACAACAGCATACAGCATTTCTCCCACCAGGTAAGGGGTTGGGTTTATTAATAAAGGAATCTGATGATCAAGGTAGAAGTCTACTGGTAGAGCAGATAAATCACACCCTAGGATTGCTTTAAATCATAGATAAGGGGTAAGGTAAGGTGGTCAACACTGGAAATTTATCTGAAGTATCTCATATGATTTTTCTTTAAAACTAGGAATTTTAGCTTAAAGAAATATAGATTAAATATCAGTGGTGTTTTATGTATTTATTTGTGTTTGTAATTTGGAATTGAAATATAGTTCTCTTTTCCTCTCTTTCTTCAACACTGTTATATGTCTGTCAAGCTATTTTATGATACTTTCTTGCTGTAAGACCCCTTTGCCTTCATGATTCTATAAGAGTTCATTTGACTTGTATGAAATGACCCTTTCAGTTTTGATTAGTTTTCAGCCTCTTTGGTTTCCAAGTGGAAAATAAAAAACTAACTGTATCTTCTAGAGCTCTTAAAATATGCTCTTCTTAATAATAATGATTTACTTGCTTAAAATTATCATTGTTCCTAATTTAATATTGAAATAATGATGTTTACATTTATATTTGAATTTTGCATTTGTGGTTACAATTTATTTTCAACTTGATCACTTATACATATTCTAGAATTATTCACATGGATTTAAAAATTAAAAACATAGACTAACAATTCATTTAGATACCTGGAAATTTACTGCTTTGACATACACTGAATTTCAGAAAAAAATATTAAACTCCTTATAGTCTGTAATTTAGCTAGCCAGACACTCTAATCTCATTTTCATTTTTACCCCTTAGCTTTCATTTTAAAATAGTATGAGTTTAGAGATTGAATAAATTAATTTTATTAGTGAATTAATGATTAGTTGTGCATATCAAGGATCCAGCCCCTTATAAAAACTCGATTGAGTATTTTTACCATGTTAGTTTCATAATACCATGAGAGAATGTGACAATGTACTTTTGATTCATGAACAAAGGAATAAACTCTATTCTAGTTTTTACTGATAGGCACAACTTTTTTTTTTACAGTGCATCTTTGAAAACTGGCCATCTGTGTGTATTTAAATATGTAGCAACAATGAATTAACTAGGATATTCTACTAAAATAGTTCATGCTTGTAGTATAAAATGACATTTATACTTGTAAAATAGCATCTGTCAAGTGGTGTTTTATCTGTATTAGAATAAAAATTAACTAATTTTAATATGTAGTGGATTCATTGCTTTCTGAGGGAAAAATTCTGGAACTCTTTCAATATAGTTTTTCAGAAACTTCCAAAAATTCATCTTTTTCATTTTTATAAGTTGCCGTGTCCCTAGATTTTTACTGTTTCCATGAACAAGCCATCAAGTTTATGTCCTCAGACCACTAGACAGAGTTTAAAGACATTGTAGGTAATTATCATAATCTCTTCGGAGAAATTTTTTAAAATTATTTTTGTCAATCTATTTAATTGAATAAAACTGACAGTTTCCCTATTTAAGATCTAAAAATAAAAACAAACCCATCTTCTGCAAAAATATTAAGGAATTTTGAAATAATTTGTCTTACCAAATGGATTTTACATTAGTTTCTCCAGTAGTCAGATGACCATATTCTTCTCCAAATAAGTATAATCATCAGTTGAATACCATGCATGAACCTTATTTTTGACAGTAGTGTATCTTCTTAAAAGTTTTAAGTCCATAGATGGAAAAAAGAAGCTAAGTAATGGTCAAGGTTGAGAGTAAGTATATTCGTAAAGCAGAATCAATTGTTCCTTTGTTCTTGAAAGTTAAGCATTGCTAATTTAAATAAAATATACTATAATATCTTGAAATATGCTGAAATTCTGAATATAATTTTTTTCTTTTATGACACATTTTACATCAGATATCCTGTTCTTGATACTTATAATTAATATGATATTAAACTATTATAGTAGTAATGTAAAATAATATTTATCTGTCTCCCTCTTTTAAACAGCTAAAGCTGCAGGTTGACTTATTAGTCACATAACCAGAATTAGATATTGCCTTCATACTTCTTCAAAAATATATTTCTTTATTATACATGTGCCTATGTGCACACATAAAAAAATGCCCTCATGACATCAAAAGTTTAAAATAGCCTACCTTTATTTCTGCCAAACAACTTTGTCAGGAAAGCCTGAAGTGCTGGGAATGCCCACCTCAGGGCGCAGGCAGTAGCATAAACAAGTGAAGCAAGAACAAAATTGGGAGTCAGCCTCTGAGCCTGAGAGGTATTGAGAAGCACAGGCTCATGCCCAGGGGAATGGTCGGTGTGCAGACTTAACCTTTTGTTGTCTCAGAGGCATATCTGCTGCCAGATAATTCCTGGTATAGCACAGACCCCTGTCTCTCCATTAACATCACAGTGTATTGAAGCAATGTAACTGTATCTGTGCCTCCTAGGGTGAGCTGGACACAATCTGCCATGGAAGCCTTGCTACACACTGCTGCTCCAGAATATACTGGGCATTAGAGTGTTTATATGTGAAATCCCCCCAATTTTTAAAATGTTGCCACTTTTTAAAAAAACAGCCTTTGAAAACTAAAAAGTAAGTCAGTTCTACCATGGATTCACATGCAATCTTGTGAATACCTGGGAGCAATCAAGTTCATTTTCCAAAATCTAGATTATCCTATGCACCAATAAGATAGAAGAATCATGTAACAAAAACATCCTGACCTTTTAACAATTGGGAAGGTATACTCTGAGGACCTTATTGGGACTAGATAGAAAATGGAAGTAATTTGTATTTTGCAGCTCACAATTTACAATTCTGTAGTATGTTTTTTCAAAAAGAATGACAGAGATATGTAGGTCTACTTAATTCACATTACAGTGAAGCATAGTTGACTAAATCCTTAGAATAGGTGACTATGTGTACAGGGGGTGGGTTGCTGTCAGAAGATCAGGGTTCTGTGTCAAGCCAGCCAGCAAGCTAAGAAAGATAGCAATGTACAGTAACTTTTAAAGAACAGAATTGGGTTTCTGATGCATCTAATCATCTGACCATTATCCATCCATCCATCCATCCATCTTCCATCATTCTGTCCTTAGCTTCCTCTTTCCTTCCCTTCATCCTTTCCTCTCTTCTGTCCTTCCCTCTTTTCATCTACCCATCTTCTTATTCATTCAGTCAATAAATTTTGATTGCATGTCACACAGTGTATCCATATTTACAGGAGAAATTATAATCTCATAGCTCTAGGGGAAAATCTAGTATTCAGAAATACTTTGTTTATCTAACTCAATTTTTAAAAATATCTAAATGTGAATCTTATACCCAGCATACATACTTTGAGGTGCCAAGCCCCAAAATTTTCTACTGCCATGGGCCTAATTGTTTCACATATTTTGCTCAAAAGTTACTTTTTATTGAGTAGCTGTCCTGTGTCATGCTGTACTGGGTACTTGACATCTTCTTTGCTGTCTTTTTTTTTTTCTTACTACAATGTCAAAAGTTTGGGTTAATATTCTCACTTTTCCTGTGAGTCATTTGGGGTCCACTGAGGTACAGAGATTAGTCAAGTTAAATGGTTTGTATGATTCAGTAGAAATTGAATTTAGGTTGGAGGACTTGGATTAGTCTTTTGATATCTGTAAGCATATTATGTAAGTATCTAAAAAAGATATGATCTCGGTACACATTTAAAATCAGCACCCTGGGAGGCAAGACAGAAGGATCACAAATTCAAGGCCAGCTTGGGCAGTATAGCAACTTAATGGGGCCCTGTCTCAAAAAATAGACTGAGGATGTAGCTCAGTGGGAAGGGCCAAGGTTCAATCCCTAGAACCACAAAAACAAACACACAAATAATGAAAAAAATTGAAAGAATTTGGGAGAATGACACTAACCCTTACTGATCACCTAATGCCATGCCTGAGATTTTATACTTTCCATCTTATTTAAAGGTAAATGTTACATTAAGTTCACATTAAATTTTTCCCCCCATCTTTGGAGTATACTACTTCTTTATTTTTACCACCACTCTTCAGTACTGATTATTTGTACAGAATATACATAATCTAGGGCCTACTTATATTGTAGATATGAATTTCACTACTGTAGAGTATATCAGAAATATCATTTTATTTATGTTTTCCCCCATAAATTTAAATTAATCCCAGTTCTATATTCTAATCTCACTGTCAGAATGAAGTAATTAATTAATAGAAAGGAAATGCTACTTGTTTGGATATCAATTTTGATAATTCAATTCATTGTGAAATTTTAGTCCTAAAAGATAATACATTATTTTTAAAGACCTAAACTAGCTTTATTCCTCTTACAATAAACCTAAGTTGTCTTAAATTATCACATGGAAATTCTAACTTCCAACTAAACCTCTATTATAATGCTTTTTTTCTCTTCTACTTGTTTCTGTTCTTGAAGTAATTTTAACTATGCATATATTTAATTTGCAAATTTCCATCCTGTTGTTTACCCTACTTCTTCACAAATATCAATTAAAATTTTAATTTAAAAAGTCATGTAATTAAAATAACACATTCCACAGAAATACACCATTCAGCTAAGCATTTATCTTTGTAAGCAAAATTGAAAATTGACAAATACATCCACTTAAATTTTGCTTTGTGCTAAAAATTGAAGAAAATATTTAATTTGGCTATTCGTGCATCATTGTTAGTAAATCAAACCATTTAAGTAAAGAAGGATATTTTGGTCATTTCAAAAGTGATTTTTGATTTTGGTAAGTGGGTCCTACAGCATTTTGTCTTCATATTTGTGAGTTATTGCACCCCAGCTAGTATTTTCATTGCTGCCTTATGTTTATTTGCTGCAAATCCCTCTCAGAACTGTGTGCATTGGTTATAATGATAATGAGGAAGATAAGTCAAAATAAAACTCATGTCATAAAAGGTTTAGGGTTTTAGAGTGATGGTATAAGGTTTATTCATTTCCAGCATGTGCAGGCTTCATTATGCATGGAATGAAATACAGTAGGCAAATTGCAGTATAATAATTATAAATTTCAAACCTATAACCTGTTCAATATTTAAACTAACTTTAATATCCTTCAAATATCATGTTATTCTTTTTCATTCCATCTTTTCAACTTTTCTTTTGTAATTTCCCAGTCCTTCTGCCCCTACCATTAGAGGATAAGGGTTTCACAAAACCTAGACCCAGTATTAAATTTTCCTTTCTCTACTGTCTCAAATTAATTTCTTTGTAATTACCGGTTTGTTTCTGTTGTCTTTTATAAGTCTCTTACTCAGCTGTAGTACCAAATTACAGAGATATTCAGTTGTCTTAAATAATGCCTGTCAATATAATATTACTCTTCCTGAAAGGATGCTTCCCTAGATCCATTACTGAGTTTAATCACTGATCATTGTGCCTGCAGTCTAAATTGTGATTACAGACTAATTGCAGCTGTGACAGCATGCAATTAATTAATCAGTTAAGTAATCTATGTTTCAGTTAAGTTTCTCAATGGCAGCTTTGTTTTGTAAGGCCATATCTGACAAGATTCGGTTGGCAGATATTTTCCTAACAAATGTTCATCCCAGAAGCTGCTAGTATTTAAACAGGATGTGCCAAGATTTAGATAGAAATACAAAGTCATTTGATATTTTAAAACTTAAAAAGTCTAAAATAATCTCTTAGAAAAAAACCAGTAGTTCTCCTTATGGGAAAGTGCCCTGAACTTCGTAAAATTAAAATAGATTTTCAATATTTATGTGTCAGAATAGGAGCTATATTTGTAACACTTATTTTTACTTATCATGGTCAAACTGTTTTGAACATTGGTGCTAATACCCTATATGTGACATGTGCATCTTCGTTATGTCCCACTCACAGTTTTTACTGAGTCTAATTAGTAATTTCTTGCATGTGAAATTTTGTAAAACATTTGCTACTGTGAAAAGTCTTGAGGCCAATGAAAACTAGCGTGTTTTCTCAAATACCTATCAAGTAAGCCAATTTGAGACGCCAAAGAAGTTGTATTCTGACTTATAATACTTTCCCTACATTTTGATTTCAAACTGGGACAAAATTTTACTTTCTTTTTATGCATAATTTATTACTCAGTATCTCTCCAATAAAATTCCCGTGTGGATGATCACAACCCACTTCGTGTCTGTATGGTTACTCCTACAAGGAACAGAGAAATAAAACCAAGGAAATTAAAATGAATGTTTTGGTTTCATAACATCATTCAGTGTTGTGCAATGGATTATTTAGTGTTTCAGTAATAAATGATATCCTTAATTATTTAAACGTGTTCTATCTAAAGAAAATATTAATACATTCATGTGTCAAAATCAGAAATAGCAGAGCAGCTAGATGGCTAGTAACCATATTAAAACAAAATAAATTATAATATTATTTTTTAAAGAATTAAACAGATTTAAATCTTTTCCAAAATGCTTTTTCTATAGGCAACAATGAATAGAAACAAAGTGTACCAGCACACAGTTAAACTGGCTTTTATTCTTCACTTGAGACTAGTTCTAATTGATCACTGTGCTATTGTATGATTTGATTGTGCTGACAGTTACATGCCACTGTTCCCATAATAACAATTTTTCTTCTTTGTTCAAATGAATTTCCTAATTACACGTGTGATGGGATGTTTTAATTCTTTTCCCTTTTCAAATCCACCTTCCTGTTGCAATGCATGATGGGCAGGCTCAATATTGTGCATGACACCCGCTACAAGTGTTGGTAGGTGCCAGCTTTGTTTCTTGATTATCTTAAACCTATGGTGCACCTCACAGCCCCTCAAAATCCACTGCTAAGTTTAACTTTTATCTATTGGCCAAATCCATTTTCCTTTTACTAACACCTGTCAATTAAATGCCATTTTCTATTTAATTGACAAGGACTCACACAAATGTTTTCTTTACACACAACAGTTTCCTTTAGTCACCTTTGGTGGATTTTGATTGGACTATGAGTTCTGGTGTGTAAAACAAAAATCTACATTATAAAAGTAATAAACTGTATTTTATAATAGTAAATAGTAAAAATACTTTTTACTCAGACAGATAATTGTATATATCAAGTAAATATCTGTATTTTTATTTAGATTTTGAATGTCTATGAACACTATATAAAATTCTCGTTTTTAACTTAGCAAATTAAGCCTGTTTGTGTCAATTTTCTTGATTTGATGGTAACAAGCTTTTTTCCCCCCTTTTTTTCTCTTTCATCCCCCTTCTCTTCTGTCCTTGGAATGTTGTCCTGCTTTGCGCTGTGATTGCATGTCACTCGCTGGTGATGATGTCCTGTCACATGGCTTATTGCTATGATAAATACCATGCCCAATGATTTCTTCCATGTTGCCATGGTTTCCATATTGCTACACTCTTCTGTATGTTTGCTTATATGATTTTCCCTCCGAAAGTTCCCATGGTGCACGGTGCTACGCCAGCCACTGTGTCCGCAGCAACAACATCTGCCACAAGTGTTCCCTTCGCTGCAACAGCCACAGCCAACCAGGTTTGCTAATTTACAGCTTTGTTTCTTAAAAAACAACTCTAATAGGGCTCAATCCAACAGCCTTTATGCATATAGATTTCCCATTGAACTCAGTGGGAATCACGTGTTTATGAGGGCTGTAGAGGGTACTGTAATGAGCATGGGGTTTCAAAGATACCTCTTGTTGGCCTACACATTCTTTCTATGATGAGCAGCAGAATGCTTTTATGCCATTTGTAAGTGCTCCAAATTTGTTGCGGCTCCATTTCTGAAGCTACTAAAATGATATTTACACAAGCAATTCTCATTTGGTCTCAACCAGTTGTGCAGGTATATTGATGAGTCAAAAATAGAGGTAATCTTAAGATTTTTATTAAAAGTATTTGGTGTATACAGTTCTTTAAATTCTTACCTAAATTCTTTTTTTTTTTTTGATACCGGGGATGGAACTTGGGACCTTGCGCTTGTGAGGCATGCAGTGGCACCACTGAGCTAAATCCCTGGGCCCCTAAATTCGTAATAAAAAAGGAAAATATTTAAATGTATTACATATGCCACAAATGACCACTCTTGTAAATAAGAGTTTGTTATAAAATCATTATTTGGTTTCTTTGATAAGCATGTTGCATATTCAAAATTAAATTCATGTGCAATATTTCTAAGCTTTGATTCTCAGAAAAAAATGAAAAACATAAAAAGAATGCTAAGTGCTCTTATTTCTATAATTACCGTGCATAAAAGTTGGCCATTTATGAAGAAAAAAGAAATAAAGTATTGTAAATAGAGATTCACTGTGCATTCCATACAAGTTTACAGAGTAAGAGTTATGCAGGATACTTTTAAATAAAAGGAACTATTTAAGAAATTTAAAATTTGTGATACACAACAACTATTTAAAGTAAAATTATTATTTACAATTCAAATGTTGACATTCTTTCCACCAGCATTTTCTGATTCTATTTAAAAATATGTTCTAAAAAATACTGATTGAATCCAAGTCTCATTTATATAAAGTAATTTGGGGTTTTAAATATGTAGATATGTTTGTTATGAAAAAAAGTTCAATTGGGTTGGTAGCATATGAAAAGAGGAAACCAAATTTCAGATAACCCACTGATTAAGGTTAAATGAAGTTGAGTGAGTATCAAAAGAACCAATATCACATGTGATTCTACATGTTGCTTCCTGGGAAGAGAAGAACAATTGAGTCCAATCTACATTTGTATTTTTTTACTAATATGTTACTGTACTCTTGATGAACTTTCAAATATTCATATACCCATTAAAAACTTTCAAAAGTATACTGCCAAAATGGATTTATTTGAAAGTTTTAGACAAACTTTAAACATTTCTTGGCAAAGAATCAGTTTTTCAGAAGCTTGTCAAATTAGCCCTGAATTTATGCTAGCATATCAGACTTATTTACAAGAATGCTAGTTTGTGTGTATGTGGCATGTTAGTAAGTAATCTTTGACGGAAATATCTTCATGGATTCAATGCAATCCATTTATGGTGCCAGTCAGTGATACTGAACTCTCTTGTATGTATCATGTATGACTACAGAATTGCTGGTGTAAGCAGAACTATAACAAAGCAAATTTCAACATGCCTTTGGCCACCTGGGTTGTAGGGGACACTTTACTTTTTGCATTGTGCTGTGACCATTTCATGCATAATCTTGGGTCTTCATACTATTTTACAACCAAAGAAAGGAAAGGAAATGGATATATATATATATATATATATATACACACACATATATTATATCTACATATACATACATATGTATATGCCTTTGGTACATTAGCAATGCTGGAAATGCCACAAAATGCAGCCTGCATGCATGCAGAAGTTTTAGCTGGCCCTTCATCTGCATCGATTGGTGTTGAAGGTCCTTGGTATGTTTCGACAGCCCCATCCTTGATGCTTCTACACTGTTGGGTGCAACATCCTGTCCTGCTGCAGCAGGAAAAATGGTATGAGAAGCTTCATTATGCTTGGAGCACATTCCGTGCCATTTGCCAATGCTGTAAATTGTGTAAAAAATGTCAGCTGAGAAATGGAAATTAAATACGGACATATAAATATGCACTCCAGACTATGGATTGTGTTAAGTTAGTCTAGTATGTCTAAATTGAAATAACAATAATGTCTTCATGTATATGATGTCATTCTCCCATCAACCTTGCAGAAATGGGATTAGTACCATTTTATAGAAGAAACGTAATCATAGAGTAATTAGTTGCTTTGCTCAAGTTCACACAACCAGGAAATGAATCACTAGCAACAGAACATGTTCTTTTGGCCTGTGAGGATCTGCATCTATGGGGCTGCTGCTCCTGTGCTAGCAGCCATTAATTTGGGTTTAGAGAAGAATTGAGTTACAAATTTGTAGTTCTTGGTTTTGGGGACTATTGAAATAAGTAACTTCTATATCAGTCTCATTAAATTTTCTCTCAAGTTTTCTGATTATTTTGCCCATTCAAAATACAATAATGTGCCATCTGGATTCAGAAATATATTCTGAAGTAAGTCTATACCCTTATCTAGTTCTTTTGAATTATTCCCTATAATTCTTACCTAGTATTTTTAATTTGGAAAAAAGATGTTCTAATTTGAATGAAAATGGTAGAAATTTGGTTGCCCCAAAATGGACAAGATGTTTCCTACTCTGATTTCTGTATTCTTAATAAGTAACTGAAACCACAGAAGAGTGTGTGTGTGTGTGTGTGTGTGTGTATGTGTGTGTATGTGTGTGTGTGTAGGCCAACAAAAAGGGCTTCTTTCAATTACTACTCTGCATGATTTTTTGGTAGTTTTACTTCTCTTACTTCCTAGAAACTGGTAACATTTATAGAATAGTATTTAACACAAATATTTTAAAAAATGACTTGCTATTCTGGCATTTAAATTCATATTAACTGACTGTTATGTTGACCAGATAGGGACTATCACCTCACAGCTGATTCTCACTCTTCTTGAAAATTTTAATATTAAGATGTTTTCATCTCTTGGTTGTTGGCTTGCTTGCATGGATCATTCATTAAATAATTTCTTATTTGCTAGATACCCATAATATCTGCCGAACATCTGACTAGCCACAAGTATGTTACCCAGATGTAGAACTGTCATCGCTAAACAGTAAGTTCACTATGTAATATACAGCTGTATGTCTGTGGTGATTTTCTTTTTTATTTGTTTGTTTTTGTTTTGGTTTTGGTTCCAGGGATCGAACTCGGGTCCTTGAGCTTGCAAGGCAGGCAGCAGGACCACTGTGCTAAATCCCCGGCCCTGTGTGGTGATTTTCTTAAGATAACAACTGTGTAGTATACTTAATTTTGCAAAATTTCAGAGAGAATATTGTAGAGTTCACATTTTTATCTTAGATGGGTTATGCAGAATTATATACACATGTAAATATAGTATCACTTAAAATACAAAATACTGAAGGATAGTAAATTTTGGTTTTTTTAATTTCATAATAGATACAAGTATTAAGAAAAATATGACTTAAAAGTAAAGAGAAGGCACATGTTAAGGGTTGGCAAATGTTTTTAAAGGGCCAAATAGTAGATAATTCTGGCAATGTGGGCCATATAGTTTCTGTGGAATCTGATCAATTCTGCCACTGTAGCATGGAAGCTACCAGACCTAGTATAAAGCAGTGATGGAGAACCTATGGCACAGGTGTTGTTTTTCTTTTAAGACAAAAAAAGTTAATGAGGTTTTTTTCTAAATTAAAACCTCACTATTCAGGTTTAATTGCAGTGTTGGCACTTTTGAGATAAATAAGTGGGCTTTGAGTTGCAGTTTGGGCACTCATCTCTAAAAGGTTCGCCATCACTGGTATAAAGGAATAGATATGGATGTGTTCTAGTAAAACTTTTTTGCAAAACAGAGTAAACTGGATTTGGCCCAGTCAGTAGTGCATCTGACCCCTTGTGATCATCGTTAACTTTATTTTGTCTATTGTTTGGCTAAATCTTAAATAAGAATATGTACAAGTAGACCCTCAAGTTACAACCTGCCTGACATACGAACAACTTGGGTTACCATCCGAATGTTAGTTTTAGCTTATGAACAAAGGCTTATGACCTGAATACCAGCCACTTGTGTTTCCAGATGGTGTCAGATACAGATTTAATTCTGAAAGAGTTCTGAAAAGCACATGACAACATACTTTCCTGTGTGGGGTTAATTGAGAAATCCTGGGCCAGTGTCTCTCTAAGGACACTGAGATCTTCCTGTATATAGGAGAGAGACTTTGAAGGCTGTGTAGAGGAGCCTGAGTGTTCAGTTGACCAACTTGGGTTACAACCATATGAATTGAGTTCATAAGTCACTGTACTCACTCCATCCCATGAATTACCATTAACAGAGTCATTAGATAGCAGTAATTGTGACTTTAACTAATTACACACACACACACACACAAAGAAAGGTATATGTGAATTCACATATCTACATACCAGTTGTACAGTTAGGTACTGTGAAATACTTATCTTGGGGGATCATATAATTCTGAAAACATTGCCTTTGCTCAAAAATGGTGGAAAGCCTCGTCTCACCTGTAGAAACATTGTCTTGAATACTTTAAAAGGCACCTTTTTGTCATTCTAAGAAAATATACTTTATTCAATATGCATACATTCAAGTTACAACATGTGCTCAGAAGCATGATAGGTACTTGTTTTTATATTTAAAAAGAACTACAGCATTTAAAACTGAATCTGGTAAATAAAATGGATGTTCGTTCCATTGTTGCTACCTTTCTTCATTTATTTAGTCATCAACATTACAAATGAGGTTTTGGTGCTACTTTGGGTTAGTTGCCCTTCAAGGAGATAAAGATGTAAATAATCTCAGGATAATAGATTAAATTAAGAAGTCTGGAACAAAGGTGAAGGAGCAACTCTTCCCGACAAAATCAGAAAAGAAAATGTTGATAATGAACATATATATGGAGAATAGAGAAATAAGGACCTTAGAGAAGGGACAGTGTGCCAAGTCAGGATTCATGGTGACAGAGAACCAATTAGAGTCCCTGGTGACTAATCCACAGTGATAGCCAAATACAGAGCCCATTGTTGGACAGAAGGATAGACAGAAACTACAAGCCATTTAAGAAAGAAATTATAGACTAGATTTGAGAAGCACTAGTAAAGACATGCTGAGATCATAAATCAATTGTTGAAATTGATTTTATTTAAATGAGATCTCTCAAAGCAGTTCTGATAAAAGGTTAATAATCATGAACAATAGTACATTGTTTTGAGTTTGTAGATTTAGAAGACATTTGACATGTTAAAAAATCTGTTTCCAGCTTTTACAGTTTTTAGATATATTTAGTATATTTGCAACTATATTCTATTTCTTAGCAGTAATCCAGGTTGAAAAATATGATACCCCATGACCATGAATCCATCAATACATAGTAAAAAGTGGACTTGTTTTTATGGACGTTTAGGGTCTTAATGTTCTGTTTATTTGAAAATGTTTTCATTTGAAGTTGCAGTACTTAAACTGATTTTTAAGTCAGCAAAATGGTGATTTCTCTCATTCTCAAAGTTATATTCTAAAGCATACTTTTAATCATTAAAAATTCCTTGATGAGTCTAAATTTCATGTAAAAAACAAAATTTTTAACTCAGATACATTGTAATATCCAGTAAAGCTTAATTCATCAGGAATTATTCCTTAATTCGTAAGTAAAGATTTTAATTTTTCTTAACATTAAAGGAAAAACCATCTATAAGCTATGAATTTTCTAAAAAAACTCACTTAAAATATCATATTTCCATGAATTTTAATTTTGTAAGCCAAATCATTCTGAAAAACCTATTAAACATTACAAAAAAAGTAAAATGAGTGTAAACTCTGCTCCACAAGGATAGTGTTAAAAAAAAGAACTCTGCTAAATTATGCCTCTTGATTATGCAACTATATTTAGCTTAGTAATAGGAAATTTTTGAGAAAAGTCTATAATTTTATTAAATTGCATGTCCTAGCATTCACAAATATCCATTTACCCATTAACAGGCAAATTTACCCATTTGCAAGTGGTGAGTGGTTTTTGTTTTTACTTGAAATGTAATAACATGTGTAAACACACTTTAATTATAAGAAAAAAATTTTCATATTAAATTTGTATTGGAAACTGCATTTAGTAATTCTGGTTTAACACAAATTATGTCTTTTTTCCTTGTAGATCATACTAAAGAGGAAAGGACAGTGTGCTTGGTTAGAATAAAGGACGAGGTCATTAGCCATATTGTATATACCTTCAAGCAACACACACAAAAATCCCTCAGCCACAAGGCATCCACATATTGCATGTTAAGCAGAAGAAAAGACAACATGGAAATCCACTGCACACTGTTGCCTACACACTTTGTACATTTAATTGATATTTGTGCTGAGGTGATATTCCTGTCTAAAAGAACAACATTGTCTTTCTTTTCTAGCACAGAGTTATGCATTAAAATATGCATACCTAATTAGTTTCCTATATATTCATGCCATCCTGAAAAGACAGACAATGGTGTAACCATGATTCTATTATGTATTGGTACGTCTGTAGACCAAGATATAATTTTTTAAAAATAAGTTTATTTCTTTCAAGGTTTACAAATAACAAAGGTGCACCTTGTATTTAAAATTGCCATTATAGATGAGAGCGTGCATGCACAGTCATTTTTGTTTAAGAGTAATATTTTTAATGTAATAGATTGTAAGACGTGGTGAGGGAGGGATCTGACAGAGATGAATGTGCCAAGCAAAACCACAACTGTATATTTTAAAGCACATCATGGCTTTAAGTACCATGTTGTCAAGGATTCTCATGAAGTGCCATAGACTGTACATCAATTAGAGTATTATTTCTTCAGTGTTACTGTTTTCAGAGCCACATTCTGTTGCTTATTTGCTAGTACTAATCAAAGGGCACCATTCTTTTTTTCTTTTTTTGGAAACCAAAGCTGTCTCAGAAATGGCCAATTTAACTACAGTAACAATAGACAGCACAACACAAACTCTCAGTACAGATAAACTCACATACTGGAGATATATATATAATAGATAAATATATAAAATTATTTTAATGCGTTGTAGTGTAATATTTATGCATACTATACTGTATAACATGTTATTCAAAAGGGATATGCCATTTCTGAGACACGATAACAAAAAATGTTTGAGGAAATTATTTTGCTTCTATTTATAGCCTCTGTCAAAAGTCAAAAGACTATAAATGCTTTGCAAAAAAATGGTTTCACGTTTGCTTAAATGCTTCATCTAAGTCACATTCAGAATAGTGACTCTAAAGAAGAAAGCAGCACTATCATCGATGCATGATAAACCAAAATATGAAAATGGCAAATGTTTAATTAACCTAGTAATTGGATGGGTAAAGTACATGGGTGAATTTTCTATGTAATTTTTTGTTTTATTCTGTTCAGATTAACTGCTTATAGCCTTAGAAAGCCTTTTACAAAATTAAAAAAAAATAGATGTACATTCAGTTTTTAAGAATGGATTCATCCAAAGGAATTCCTTTTTTTTTTTATTGTGGTTTGGATGTTGCAGCTAGTAAAGGATATTTTTGCTCTGTTCAGCAGTTCTAAAAACTGCTGAAGTACGGGCCAGGTCACTGGTAGTTATAGTATGGAATGGGAGAAGTGAAAGTTCAGTTATAGAACTTTCCATACTTCCAAGTTTACTGCAAGTTTTTATGCTTGAGAGAGATGCTTTCTAATATAAGACTGATGTGTTGATTTTACTGATTGTACTGTACATCTATTAAAGCCTTAGATTATTACATTACGGGTTGGAACCCATACCAATGTAATTTCAATCGTGTTAAGAGAGTAATGGTGACTTCACATGTTATTGTAGTTAGTTACATTATAGAATATTACTTATTTTTCTTGTTAAAATGTAGTTTTTCATTTCCTACATTTATTAGATTTTCATTTTCTATTAACAAATACCATTTCAGTTTATAGACTATTGTTTTATTAGATTTTACTGATGAATTTTTCAAAATACAAAAAAATTAAAGTAGTTTTTCCTTCATAACATACTCAGTTTGAATTTCATGTAGTGTCATATGGATATTTGTATTATTGTTAACTAAATGATTTATATTTTACTGATTTAATATTATAGTGTAAGAATGTCAGTCATTGTTAGTTCTTGTCTAGTTTTCATTAAAAGAACAAAGATCTTTTATATGAATATCTTATAAATATATAATCATTGCTAAGTAAGAAGTTAAGTTGTTGCTATTGCAACAATCCTGGCAGACAATTGAGTAATATTTTGATGATTTATTTTGTTTGTAATTAGTTATTATAAGAAGATCTAGATCCTAGATATTAGAATAAAATTTATTTTCTACTGTATCCATTTCAAATGTTAAAGTATTGTTTAATATTTTTGAAATCCCTGAATATCAGGCCTTGTTATAAATAAGCTGCATAATCAATAAATAGAACAAGGGACTTTTTGTTGATAATCCAAATACTCAAAGTTTACGTAATGAGAATTATATAGTGTGTGTGCAAACTCTTGAGGGTTGATTAATGCTGCAATTTAGCATGTTGGGACGTCTAGAGAGAAGGTTGACTTTTTGCACTTCTGTATATAGTCAAAAGAGAGAAACCTGTATAATAGTAAGATCTTATTTTGAATAAAAACGTCTATAATTACAAGGAGTTTTGTTAAGGCTAATAAAATGACAGACTGAGCAAAATTGCTTGCAAAAGTGGCACAGAGTTAGCACTCCATACCCCTTCAAACATGTTGCTTTGCTTTTTGTGGACAGCTTGTAGTTTGCCAGGATATTTTCAGCTGGAAAGATATGTCATCCTTCCAAGATCTCATGACTGACAAAAACTCCATTGGGCCAAATCTGCCTGAAGATCATTACCAAAAATAGCAGGTACTTCGACCATTAAGGTGAAATCATGGATCAAATATTCCTTACATTTTTCAAAGCTACTGCATGTTTAAAACTTCAAAAAGAAAAAGAGAGAAAGAACTATACAAGGACATCTATTATTCAAATCAGTTTCTGCCAATTTCAGTGGTTTATTGTTCACAAAAAGAAATCTTCAAAACAAGTATTGACTTTCACAAAATTTAAAGCATAAACAGGCAAACCAAACAGCACACCGTAGCTATAGTTGTTATGTGATTGTTTTTAATTGCTGTAGGGTCCTGTTCTTTCAGCAGGTGAAAAAATAAAACACAGTTCTAATTTCACAGTTTTAATTTTCAATGCAGAAGCACTCAAAAAGCAGGTTGTGATAATGAGCACTTGTTTAATGAATTAGTCCATCCAGCCTCCACTACAGCTGGGGAATAATGTTGCACTTATCAGCAACCCTACCATTTTCATCTGCTGAAAGGACAAATGTGCTTGGTTTTACTATTATGTAATCACAACTTACTTTCCGCTTGTAGTTGCTTAAAATTATGTATTTTGTCTTGGGCTCCAATTTGTTTTATGCTTATTTTATTATTACTGCAGTAGTTGACTTTGCTGTATGGAAAAATAAAGTGAAATTGCCCTAATAAAACTTCTCTTTCTTAAGTATATTTGTGTATCTGAGATTGAATAGTAAAGTATTTTTGTCCATTTCATGTATGCATGCACGTACATCTTTAGGAACAGCTGATAATTTCATTATCTGTTGTTAATAGATTGCAAGGAAGGCATTTACTTCTGTCTCACTAATTATCTTTTGATACCGAGTATCCAAATCAGATGTATTCCCATCCTATGCCCAGTGTTTTCTGAAAACTCTTGCCCTTTGCTGACACTTAAGTGCTAACTTAAATGTAAAGAAGAAAACTATAACAACAAAAAAAGACATCAATTCTAGATCACTGTCTTTCTTTTAAGAAATGCTATTTCCCTGAGTGATCAAGCTGACTAGCACTGGAAATCAGCCAATCTAAGAAACTGTTTCAGTAATGAAACACATGATGACACTTCCTTCAGAAGGATAAAAGAGTATATGTACACATTCCACTGAGCCAACCCATGACCTAACTCCTAAGTGTGCATATGTGTATGTGTGCATGCACTATAGATTAACTTCCCACAACGAATGCAATCATTATGTACTGAAAACATGTACTAATAAAAATTTAAAATTTTAAAAATATTTTGTTTGAAGTAAGGGCTTGGTATCTTATACAGACTTTTCATGTTACAATATCTACAGATAGCCAATGAAGACCAAAGTTCCATTAGAAAGAAATTTTGTATATTTGATCTTTTAGTTCTGCTTTATGTTGACTTAGCCACTGGGTATTTGGTCAAAGGCTGCAAATTTTCCTTTGAAAGTTGATCCCTTTTTTTCTCCCTGAAAACTTATTGCAAGAATCAGAAGTCCATTATTTATAATTACAGTTCCATGTCTGTTTGAGTTCTATGGGACATTTTTGTTGTTCTCAGCAGATGCAGCTTATTCTAGAAGCTTTTCAAGGAAAAGAAAATGGCTGGCATGGAGATGATTCTTTAAAGCAAAGGGCCATGACTTTTTTTGAGTACATAAAGACATTGACTCTCCAATTAATGATAGTATTTTGGGTATCTTCTAATTGAACAAAGAAACTATAACAAAAAGCCATTTTAACTTTTTAGTACTCTAAATGAAACTTTATTAACATAAGAGCAAATGAATGCATTTTAGAAGTGGTATGTGAGATACGTTTTTCCCCAAACAATACTTAATATTCAGAAGGTGTCACTGCTGCAGAGCCAACTAGGGATCCTATGCTCACGTGATCCTCTCTTAGTAGTTACTTTCTTTCTCACTTACGGGAACAAAATCACTTGCTAGAAATACTACTTTATAATAGACCCTAGGACCATGATGGCAAACCTTTTAGAGCTGTCACTGATACAGCCCACTGCACCCCGTGTGCCATACATTCACCACCACTGGCCTAGGACATAACTTTTAAATGTTCAAAATTGATTCTGTTGACAACATGAAGAGAACAAAAAAAATGAAATTTAGATGTTTAAAAATGAAAAGATTTGCTCTGAGCTCTCCTGACCTGTGACTATGATAATACTTTATTGAAGTGACTTTAATGTGGCCCCTGTGCCATCCCCGTCCTTATCCCAGGCTCTGGCACTGTCCCTCTTAGGGTGGTCAGCCCCACATCGATGGAAAGGGCTCTGGCAGCCACAGTGGTTGGGGTGGGTGGTAAACCTCGAAATATCCCAGAATGTTGTTGGCCAAGGCCACACAGGGCCACAGCCTCCCCCTTAGAATTTCCCTGTTCTCACAAGACCCCAAGTGCACTGGGCCTCAGGACTGCAATGTTTAGGTGTGTACTAGGGGAACTTTGACCTGGGGCTCATGAACTCTTTCAGGTTCTGCTGCTAAACCTGCTCACCGCATCAAGGTGGCAAGGGGCTCAGGGCAAGGCCCTCTGCTTTTTATCTTCTGCTGCTTCTAAGGAATCTGACTCGATCTCACTATCTAAGACTTCCAAGCCTCTACATTTTTGTCACATACCTTTTTCTTTGTTCATGTTGCTTTTCTTTTACCAATTAAATGTTAGGAAGTGGAAGAACAAGGCCTGTTTCTTTCATTTCTGAAAAATGTAATAGTGGCCAAGTAGAACCCAGAAATATAAAATCTATTACCATTAGCAACCTGTTAGGACTTTTTGGAAATACTTGCTGAATCAAGTGTGCTCAGTTTCTTTTTTTCCCTCCTCATTGAGCTTTGTCATGACAAAAGTTAGAATAAACTTGAAACTATTCATAGTGGTTGGGAGCACCAGGTTATGTAAATTTTAACTGCCACTCTCAGTCACATTTGCCTCTTGGTGGACACTTGGAATATTGCATATTTGATCTTTGAACTTCAAAGAGCTCAGCAGTGGGTTAAACTGCAGCTTTGGGTTGATGTGTGATCTGCTGCTACGAACACAATTTCACGGGAGGGAAATTCTAATTATTCCAGGTGCTACCTGTGCAATGGTCATGAGTATATCTCTGGGGAAATTTTTTAAAAGCAGCCACTCCTCTATGGGAAGGTCTCACATTTATGTGACCTGAGGCTCCAGGGCCAGATTAATTAACTCTGTTCTGGCAAGAAATATGCAGGTTCCATAAAGGGCTGGATGTTGAGTTGTACCCTCAAAATATAACTGAAAGGCAAATTACTTGGATCGGGATAGCTGTGACCAAGACTGCCCTTGCAGATAGGATGTTTTCTCAGGAGAAGGCCGATTATAGTCATAATAGACTTATAAATAAGCAGTCAGAGTGGCTCTCAGAGTCTGGAAATAGGTGAGCTGTCTGCAGAAGTACATACTTGAATTTAAGGTTAGAGCAGTGAAGTCACAACTAAAATATAGGCTCATCTCCAAAGTTCACTTAGAATGACAGAGTACATGCCGCTTGAGGAAATTATATGTAGTGAGAGAGTGGCGAAGCTAAGCAGAAAATCTAGACTTGTGAGATCCCATAATGTAGCATAAGTTCAGGCATCCTAAGATGAACAGAGATGTGGAACCAAAAGCCCACAGCAGAGGTTAAGCAAAAGCAGCCTCAGTAGTTGACACCTAATTGTAAAAACCTGGACCCTGCCAAGGGGCTTTAGTAATAGGAAGGGCCTCACATTTCTCCTGCTTTGCTTTGCCTCCAGGTCTTTTCCTGTCAAGTCCAACCAATTTCCAGACATGGGCTTCTATGGTCTCTGAAGATAAATGTAAATACTAGTATCTGGAAGGTGGAGTGATAGGGGCAGAGAGAAGGGCTGATTTCCACAACCTTGTGAATGGGAAGCCAAGCCACACATTTTGGTAGGAAACAGAAACTACACAGGTGTAATTTCCTAAAATGATTATTTTTAAGAAAGGCACTAAGAATTTTTTACAGTCACAGAAAGCAAAGCTCCTAAAGCATTAGAGAGACGTTACAGTGGTTAAGATCAAAGGGTATACAATCAGAGCACCTGATTCATGTCTCAATGCCTTTGCACTTAAACTTTGGGAAGGCCCTTCACTTCTCTGTGAATCTATTTCAACTTTAATAAAACAGGAAGAGAAATACCTATCTTGTAGTGTTGTGATTTTCAGAGCTTGCTGCAGATTGGAATTATTTCAGTGATCTTTGAAAGTATTAATACTTGTCTCTTACTTCCAGCCATTCTGATTTAACCCCCATGGAGGAAACTTCTTGGTTAATACATATTGAAGTATTTAAAATGTGTCTGGCATATAACTAGTAATTAATAATGTTTACTATGATGACTATTGTATTTTGCCCATTTTACCAATCACCTCCTTTAATCTTTAACTTCTTATCCTAACTCTGGCATCATACATCCCTTTGAAAGCAGGTGGGTGCACACTATCTCTATCCATTTGTGCTCTCTGTACTTCTATCTTTTCTGTTCAGTAGTTCTGAAACTTTATCTTCCTGTAATTTACCACCATACCCACAACAGGTCTTGCTCATTGCTTCCTTTCTGGTGAGTATTTTAAAAATAGAATCCAGCACATTTTTATTCATTTTGAAAAATTTTATTTCTTCATATGCAAGGTTCCTGTTCTGGGTTGATATGGCCACAGACCCTACCTAACCCATGTCAAGTTGAAATTAACCATTTAAACAGATCTGAACTTAACTGTTCGAATCCCCTTTTACATTTTTATACTGTACTCAAAATGATACAAAGGATGCGTTATCATAAAAATCATGCCATTAAATAATATATTTCTTAAAAATCCCAATAACACCTGAGGGACACTAATATATTTCCATGTTATATTTTATCATAAGCTTGTTTTAGATGTTTAATTAACATTGACTCAGCTCAGCAAACATATACTAAGAATCTAGCAATATACCAGGCTCTGAAATATAGGGATAAATGGTAAGAACCTTAAAATGACTAAAATACGTTATATAAAATATGTAATTTCCTTTGATTACTCACTTTACCTGTTTTTTTTTAATCTACAAGAGTCTGTTACTATACTCTACAGTAAAGAGGCAGATTAAATGAAAATTAGTTTCTCTTCTTCAATAAAATGATGTGACCGCCCTGTTTTATCTTTAAAATGTAACCTGAATATTGAAACAATACATATGGATAGTGTAATACAAATAATTTCACTGCAGCATTTAAAGCTTTTTTTATTTTTAACTGATGCATAAAAACAGAAAAATTATACATATTAATAGGGTGTATTGTGATGTTTTTATTCATGTATGCATTGTATATTTTAAAATCAGAGTAAACATAATTACCTCTTCAAATAGTTATCCTTCCCTTATAGGAAAACATTCAAAATCCTTTTTTCTGGGTTTTTGAAACATATAGTACATTATTATTATTTATAGTTACCCTAGTATGCAGTAGCACATTGGAACTTACTCCTAATTGTAGCATTTTTTTCTAATAGTAAAACAAGAATAACCTATTTTTTGATAATTAGAAAATGAATAAAAGTATTACATTCAGAGTGTTGCATATTTTCGAAACTGATTTACATCAAAATGAATGAAAAATTTAATGATAAGATTCCAGGAAACTTTAATTTTCTGGGTTTTCAAAA